AAGAAATTATATATTATATATTATATAAATTATATATTTACTATTATTATATATTATATATTTACTATTATATATTATATATTTTACAAGGTAAAAATAAGACTATTTCCATGACTACTCATTGGGACAAGATAAAGCCACCATTAAAAATCAGCTAAGAAAACATAAATACAAGATTAGCCATAACCAAAACTGGAGTTATATTTATAGATAAAAACACACACATATAATCAGATTGTAACAGACATATGGCTGACTTATCTCTTAATTAAGCCCCACAGTGACTTACCTGTATAAACAAAATTGCAAATTGTCTAAAATTGTAAAACCGAAAAACACAATAAACTTATGTTAAGAAACCTACACTGGGCCGGGTGTGGTGGCTCACACCTGTAATCCAAGCACTTTGGAGGCCAAGGCCGGCAGATCACCTGAGGTCGGGAGTTCAAGACCCGCCTGACCAACATGGTGAAACCCCGTCTTAAAAAAAGAAAAAAAAAAAAAAAAAAAAAAAAAAAAAAGAAACCTACACTGAGAAATAACACTGATATGAAACTACAAAACAATGTTTACTCATAAAATCTGGTATGCAAAATTGATGATGCACTAACAAATAATTTGTGTCGATAACTGCAATAGTTTACTGTAACTGTGTACTCATTGACAATGACTCTTTTGAATCATTGGCATCCACTGTAATGCAGTAAAGTTTCAGATAAAATGCAGTATAATCATAAACAGAAGATTGCAATGACACACTTTTGATAAATAAGCATTTTAATAAATGAGATATTTTTAAGTTTTAAATATGTAATATTCTTACACAAAATAAAACTTCTCTAACCTAACTTTAGAAGCAAAGAACAGGCTTACATTGCTAAATAAAGAAAAAATATACCATAATGGACAGCAAAGAAAGAAAAAATATATATACATATGTATGTATATTTTCAGAATCTATATATATTTTTTCAGAATATGATCAGACCCTCTGATATATAAAAACAATTTGGAAATAATTTGTTACATTTTAGATATAGGCAGACAAAAGTGAGTGAAAATCCTATAACCTTTTTTATCTGCCTATATTTCCTTTTTGCCTGCCTACTAATTATTCAATTCACTTCAGGCATAAAATGTAAATTCTAGTATATTGTCCTAAATGTCTACATCTGAAATTACAGACTAAATCAAAATAGAAAGTAAAAATGTACAGGGAGAGTGACATCACTAAGGTGGAAAAATAAAAGGTGTCCTATTTGCCTATTTTCTGACAGCAAGAAAATTTGTCATCCATCCCTAACAAAAATGCCTTTATGAGAAAAACAGGAATCATGGCTCCAACCTGTAATGACAGCTACGTGGTACATTAAGTCAGAGAACTGCTTCATGCCAGAATTTCAAGACCAGCCTGGGTTACGTAGCAAGACCCCATTTCCAAAATAAGTGCCCTTAAAAAAGCTTTGAGATCCAGGGGGGGATTTGTGAAACTCTGCTAATGCCCACGATTGAGGAACATTCTTTTCAGAAGACAGGCTTTTATTCAGGTGGCAAACTACAGGATCCCTGTTCTTGGCTATAGACCAGAAAATGCCCCATCAAACTTGATCCCACTGAGAATTCTGAACTTACCTTGTAATCATCCCAAACTCCTCCTATCCACAGTATGGGAGAGATCCTGCCCTTCCAGAGGCCTGAAGGAAGACACCCATTTATAGGCATGCTGGTAGGCCTGAAGATGTTGGCCCTTACTGTGGTCCCTAAGGCAGTTCCATGACTCAGTTGTAGTTCCCTGAGCCACAGTGCACGGCAAGTTCTGCTGATGCAGAAACCCACAGTGACCTTGGGAAATCCTCTCTGGTACTCGGTGGAAGCCAAACTCATCTACATCCTAATTTAAAGCCTACCATATGTAGACCCAATTGCAGAAACCTCCCCACATTTTGCCAAACAAAGCAAAGTCCTAAAGAATATTCACTATGTCCAAAACTAAAATGGGAATTACAACTACCCAATCCCCTTGTAACAAGCCAACTAAAGGTGGACCCTAATGCAGAACCAACAGCCTTTGTGATCAAGCTACAACCTCTCTACACTACAAACACATGGGGCATCCCATCACCCTGGGACTCAACAAAAGACCTTCACTTTCTGAAACCAGTTTATAAAAACTTGAAGAGGTGTTTGTTCCTTCAAATTCACAGACACCAATGCAAAAGTATATTGTGTCTATTCTCAATGCTTCTATTTTAACATAGCACTGGAAGTAGGTGCAATAAAAATTAGTCAAAAAAAAGTTTTAAGTCATTGAAATTAAACACAAAAAAGGAAAATGTTGTTCTTTGTAGATCATTTGATCTTATATAAAAAAACATAAACAGTATTTTAAAAACTAATTAAAGTAATAATTACACAATAAACTAGCAAAATAGAAAATTAACATAGAAGTATAAGTTATGGTTTCATACACTTTAAATAAACTATCTGATAAAATAGAGAAATGAAGCGATCTTAAAATAGCACTGAAATAATAAATTTCTAAGAACAAATGTAATATAACAAAGGAGCTTAAATATATTTCAAATAAAAGATACATCAATTAAAAACTTGAAATGACAAAAATAAATATAAAAACATTTTATGTCTATTGATTGAAAGAATATTGTTAAAGTACCATGTTTTATCTATAATGATCTTTAGATTCAATAAACTCCCTATCAAAGTTCCGGTATTTTCCACAGTAATACAAAATGCAATTCTAAATTTCATGTAGAACTACAATAAATGTTGACTAGCCAAACCAATCTTGAAAACAAAGAACAAAGCAGAAGAACATCATAATGTATAATTTTAAACTATACTTAAAAACTATAAAAGACAAAATGTATTGTGCAGAAAAATTGGCAACACAAAAACAATGGAACAGAAACCACTTCTCTCACACATCTTAGACATGTCAAAAGAGAACTTAAAAAACAGTTTAACATAAAGTTTCTCAAAATTATGCAGGTATCTCTGTGTTTTCAAAAACAACAAAAAAGTGATCATATTTTGCAGTCTCTTACATGCCACAAACAGGCTGTCACTGTAAATGTGAAGAAAGGTTACTGAAGGAAAGTAAACTCTTTAGAGATTTTAAAAAGATAACACAGAAGATGTTTCCATGTGAGAGCACAAAAAAACAAAAAATAAAAAATAAATAAAAAATCAGGCTTCCTAAAAACTATTTCCTTTGAAACACAGATTTCCAAATCATTTTAAGAATTGGCTTTTTTCTTATTTTATACCTCTCATCTGTGTCGTCTGCTGCACTCATTTTCACTCTTACCTACCTGGGGCTTTGGCTACCATCTCATGTCTCTTCACATTCCAAGGTTCTTTTCCTTGCTCCAGACAGGTGATCAGGTCTGGCTTAGAGGCAGCAATACCTGTTTTATTAAAAATTACATGAATCTTGCTCATATTCTCCAATTACCAACCTAGTAGTGTGCTCAGTAAAAAGAATGTAATAGAATATTCTAGCAAAATGCCTCTAAAATACTAATTTATAATAAAAAATTTAAAATATTCAGAAAATATTTTAAATTGATTTCAGTTTTGTAAGTTCTTAATTTCACTACCTGGTACTACTAAATCAAAAATTGGTAGTGGCAATCAGATTTTAAGATGTGGGCAACAGTATGTTATACCGCTAAATTTCTAAAATTAACACTAATCTAGAGTGAAGGATACGGATCAGCTCTGGAGTGTGGAAAGTTCAGGTCAAAAACACCTTAAAATTCTTTTTTACTAGACAAATCTTGATTTTTTTTTTTCTTAAACAGATCTGAAAGCAAAAATTGCCAAAAATTATTCTACGAAAAAAGAAAAAGAAAAGAAAGAAAACTTACAGAATATATCAGGAAATTGTGTATTGAAGTGATGCTCACCCAGGAAGACCAGGTTTCTGTAGTTCTCTAACATCACATTTCTATATAAATTCTGCTGTGCAGTGTCCAGGCATTGCCACTCCACCAGATAGAATTCTACGGCCACACCCATAAATGTCAACACTCCCTGAAAAACATACATCCACATGCATATTTACCAAGTGACCATGAGCAGAATTTTTAATTTGACTCAAGGTAAATCAAGAATAAAGACAGGCCGGGCGCGGTGGCTCAAGCCTGTAATCCCAGCACTTTGGGAGGCCGAGGCGGGTGGATCACGAGGTCAAGAGATCGAGACCATCCTGGTCAACAAGGTGAAACTTCGTCTCTACTAGAAATACAAAAATTAGCTGGGCATGATGGTGCGTGCCTGTAGTCCCAGCTACTCGGGAGGCTGAGGCAGGAGAATTGCTTGAACCCAGGAGGCGGAGGTTGCGGTGAGCCGAGATCATGCCATTGCACTCCAGTCTGGGCAACAACAGCAAAACTTCGTCTCAAAAAAAAAAAAAAAATGAATAAAGATAACTGGTTCTTACTTACAGGAGTGACTGACAATATCTAACAAATAACTTTCAACACAGAAATATTCTCTAATGTATTCTCTAACTCTGAGAAAAGACAACTACATAACAGTTGATGTTATGTAGTAACATCAACACATAGATGGTACTGTTCTGGACAATAAAGTATAAAACTGAGGGCATAAACACTAACATGTACATTTTTGAGTGTTATCTTTACATTACACGGAATGAGTTGGGCAAATTTTTCAGATGAAAAAGACATACTGAGTTAGAAAGTACTGCTCAAATTTTAATGTGTACAATAAAAGGGAGATCTTATTAATGCAGATTATTTTTTCAAAAAATCTGGAATAAAATCTGAGTCTCTACCAAGCTCACTACTAATGCCAATGTTTTTGGTCAAAGAAAATTATTTTGTCGAACAATCAGTAAGTGCAAGAGCCTCCATATTTTTCAGTGTTTCTGGCCTGTAAAGAAAGATGAGAGCTTCATTTTCCAAAGACTGATAAATACAAAGAAAACCTAAGAAAGGGCAGCTGCCAGATTGAAAGTGATTGTTTATCCACATCAGCTGCATAAAGATACTTAATAATGAAGAGAAAAACAATTGTCTATTAAAAAAAACTGTCACAAAGCTCATTAACCAAGTGAGTTATTAACATCGACTGCATGAAGACGAATTTGTATGATGTTCGGAGGCAAATCAATTACATGGTGTGCACAGGGTTACAGCATCACTGCCCCCTCCAAAGTAAATTACAGTCTAAATTTAATGATAAAGAAACATCAGTTTGGCTGGGCGTGGTGGCTCATGCCCGTAATCTGAGCACTTTGGGAGGCTGAGACAGGCAAATCACGAGGTCAAGAGATCAAGAGCATCCTTGGCCAATATGGTGAAACCCCATCTCCACTAAAAATACAAAAATCACAAGCATTTCTATAAGCCAAGAAAGAACATTCAGAGAGCCAAATCATACATGAACTTCACAACTGCTACAAAAGAATAAAACACCTAGAAATACATCTAACAAGAAATGAAAAGGCCCTCTTCAAGGAGAATTATAAACCCCACTGCTCAAGGAAGTAAGAGAGCACACAATCAAATGGAAAAACATTCCATTTTTATGGACAGAATAAACATCAGGCCAGGCATGGAGGCTCATACCTGTAATCCCAAGGCCAAGGCGGGTGGATCACCTAAGGTCAGGAGTTTGAGCCCAGCCTGGCCAACACGGAGAAACCCTAACCAACCTGGAGAAATCCTGTCTCTACTACAAATACAAAATTAGCCGGGTATGGTGCTACATGCCTATAATCCCAACTACTGAGGAGGCTGAGGCAGGAGAATTACTTAAACCCAGAAAGCGGAGGTTGCAGTCAGCTGAGATGAAGCCACTGAACTACAGCCTGTGCAACAGGGCGAGACTCCATCCCCAAACACCCAGGAAAAGAAAAAAAAGAAATACAAATAATAATAACAACTCTTCTGTTAATAAACATCCCTTAATGTAAAAATATCAGCAGTCACAAAAATATAAAGAAAGTGAGGGTCAGGTGCTATGGCTCATGCCTGTAATCCCAACACCTTGGGAGGCCGAGGCAGGTAGATCGGCCTGAGGTTGGAAGTTTGAGACCAGCCTGACCGTGGAAAACCCCATCTCTACTAAAATAAAAATACAAAATTAGCCAGCCATGTGACGCATGCCTGTAATTCCAGCTACTAAGGAGGCTGAGGAAGGAGAATCGCTTGAATCCAGGGGTCAGAAGTTGTGGTAAGCTGAGATCCTGCCATTGCACTCCAACCTGGGCAATAAGAAAAAAACTCTGTCTCAAAAAAATTAAAAGTAAAAATAAAGTGGTCCAAATAAAGCCCAAGTTTTTTTGCACACATCTATTTACTGTACTCACCATATAATGCATATTTCAACCTTTTATCCAGTTGCCAGTATAGACTAAAAGTTTCTGGATGGTAGGGACCATGTCTGCTTTATCTACTTTTCTAAAGACTATATGAAATGAAAGCAATTGCTTGATGTGTCTGAGTCTCCTGATCTCCTCTTGTTTTTCACTCAAGTACAAGGAAACTGGAGAAACTCTCATTTGGGCACCAACCAAAAACATCTCTTCTATGAGGTGAGAAATAAACACGGAATGAATCATTTTTCCTAGACTGAGACAGAAGAATTTAACCACTCTTGTCAGCCTAATAAAATTCTGCTCTGGGCATTCTCAAATAACTCAAAGATGCCTAGGTGACTGTGAAGTGTGATAGGATTCCCAGTGACCCTGTGCTGGTGGCTCAATAAGTCAGGCAGGAGAGAGTCAGGCTCTTTTTCTTTTTTCTTTTAGATAGAGTACCCTCTGTTGCCCAGGCTACAGTGCAATTATGTGATACTGGCTCACTGCAACCTCTGCCTCCCAGGTTCAAGTGATTTTTCTGCCTCAGCCTCCCAAGTAGCTGGGACTACAGGTACACGCCATCACGCTGGACTAATTTTTATATTTTTAGTAGAGATGCGGTTTCGCCATGTTGGCCAGGCTGCTCTCGAACTCATGACCTCTGGTGATCCACCCAACTCGACCTTCCAAAGTGCTGAAACCACAGGCGTGAGCCACCGTGCCCAGATGATTCAGGCTGATTCTAAATAAAAAACGGACCTGCCCTGGTGGAGTTCCAGAACTGGGATGACCTGTGATGGTGAGCTAGCTCTTGGGTAAGATAAAGGACAACAATACTCTCCTCCAGTATCACATTTTTACACATAGATATAGTTGTGGTTATGGCTCTGGATACTTATAGTCTTGATCTTTTAAGATGCTAGCTTACGCTTAAAGATTCTGCCATCAGATTCTCTTTACCCTTAGAGCCTGTCACAGAACTGGTCACTGAACAAGGCCTGAAAACTCAAAGAGCCACACTCTCAAAGGGAGGCTTTAAGATGTCTGTGTTGACATCTTGCAATGCAGAAAATGCCTCCTCTTAGTTTCCTATACATTTTCTACCCAAAATCTACCCTGTGTCTTGTAAATCCCAGGCAAAGGCCAGAACTTATGTGAAGATTCTAGGTGGGATTAACCTCACTCTGCATTTTTGGGTGTTACAGCAAATAAAGTACTATCAAAAGAGAGATCCCCTCACGTTATGTCCCTGGGTGACAATGCAAGACTCTCTCTTAAAAAAAAAAGAAAAAAGAAAAACAAGTGAATTTGTAAAATCAGAAAAAAAGATAACAGGGTGAACTGATAAAAAGTTGTTTCGTGGCCAGGCACAGTGGCTTACACATGTAATCCCAGCACTTTGGGAGGCCAAGGCAGGTGGAACATCTGAGGTCAGGAGTTGAGACCAGCCTGGCCAAAATGGTGATACCTGGTCTCTACTAAAATTACAAAAATTGGCCAGGCATGGTAGCAGGTGCCTGTATTTCCAGCTACGTGGAAAGGCTGAGGCAGAAGAATCACTTGAACTTGGGAGGCAGAGGTTGTAGCGAGCTGAGATCACCACTGCACTCCAGTCTGGAAGACAAAAGTAAGACTTTGTCTCAAAAAAAGAATAATAAAAACAAAAATAAGGCCGGGCATGGTGGCTCATGCCTCTAATCTCACCACTTTGGGAGGCTGAGGTGGGTGGATCACCTAAGGTCAGGAGTTTGAGACTAGCCTGACCAAGATAGTGAAACCCTGTCTCTACTAAAAATACAAAAAATTTAGCTGAAAGTGGTGGCAGGTACCTGGAATTCCACCTACTCAAAAGGCTGAGGCAGAAGAACTGCTTGAACCCGAGAAGCGGACGTTGCAGTGAGTCAAGATTGCACCACTGCACTCCAGCCTGTGCGACAGAGTGAGACTCTGTCTTAAAAAAAAAGTTGTTTCTCAGGCAGTCTTTTTTATTTTTTTTTTCTTTTGGTCATTAGTGATCATTAGTTTATTATAAAAGAGAGATATGAAAATTATTTACATGATGAAAGATTTTAGAACTTAAGTAGAATGGACTGCATCACGTTGATGCCATTTCAAAAGTGATTTCAGTCTACGTCCTCTAAGAATGTGACCATCTCTAAATAGGAAATAATTCTTGTCACCTACAACTACTTTAATGTCTCCAAATTCTGGGAGAAGAACTTTAACTGGTTGAATCTCTCCGCCCTTTCCTTTAGAACCTGATCCAACAGTGACTACTGTTGCTTGCAATACTTTTCCTTAAAATTTTTCTGGAGACATAATGCCTCCGTTGGATACTTTCAGCAGCACTCCTTTCAACAAATAGTCAGAAAGTGGAAGAAACAGAAAGTCTTCTTTATTTAAAGAAATAACTT